CCCCGCCACCACCACTAACTAGCATTTCTTTTATACTTATAGCGAGAGTTTGGTGCTCCCATCCTTGTGGTACAGTAGCTTCTAATACGCATGCGTACTAGGTAAGTGTCCCAGTTACAAGAAACCTGTTGTACTGTATGTCGTGACTGTAAGTAACTAATACCTCCGTGTCGGACAACCCGAAGTTTGATCTTCGTTTAACCATCGGGTTGCCCGGTACGGAAGTATCACTTACTTACAGTCACTACGTACAGTACAACGGGTTTCTTGTAACTGGGACACTTACCTAGTACCCAGGCGAATCAGAGGTAACTTTACCACAACGATGGGAGCACCAAACTCTGGCCATAAGCATAAAACAATTGCTAGTTAGTGGCGGTGGCGGTGTTCCACTTCAATTCCAAGGTTGACAATTTTCCTGTCTGGTACTCGTCATTTGCTAGGCATCTGAAAGAGTCTTGCAAGCATGGTTTTCAGTAAACTGACACAAGTTTGTAACATGATGAAATGAATTTATTTTGTAATAGTACAACAGACAAAAAACAATAAAGATTAACATACAGTGCATATCTTTCGCGTACAATAAACAACAGTGTACTCGTTATCAGCGTCCGTAACTCTTCGTCTTATTACCTCCGCCATATTCTGAACATGTAGTGATCATAATAAAGCCATAATTTACGAACCTTTTGTTACTTTCCTCTAATAGCTTCGACTTTCTTGAGTTACCACGATATTAACAATATGTGGAACTAGATTATCAACTAATGACCCGCGATAGAATTATATTACAAAACCTTTGACAAAAATAACACAATTACATACCGCCATTATTTCCTTCGACAACTACAAAATTACGAGAAATTAAAAGACTTTCAGAGAATTTAAAAGTCCTTTCAACATCACTGCCACTAAATAAAGTTATAAACTCCTATTCGACGATTTACTCAAAAAATACGTAAGAAAGATCTAAGGATATTAACCTAGCAGCGCTGTATATAAACAACAGCAACATGTAAATTATAATGATTACAGAATGGCATTCGATAAAAGTACCATCTGCATTGTTACTAGAATATTAAACATTTTGAATGACTATTAAGTTCGCGGGTTTTCCAGATCGTAAACATTTACGTTTGTTGAGAAAAAGTTTCGTCGTTTTCTTACCGCGCCTTAGAAGCCAAATTAATTTTATCGGCAGAGAAGAAATTTTTTTCCCTACTCGATTGGGAATAGTATGATAAAGAAAATTGCAAATTGTATTCTTTTTCTTTCACACAGAGCCAGTGGAACTTGCACCGCGGGAAAAATATATTCGACACTAATTTTCTCCTGCGAGTTTTAACCAGGCTAAAATGAAACCCTGTTTTTTTAGGTAGCCAATGTAAAAAGAAACTTCCCTCATGTAAACAGACGATTTTGTCTTCCTTAGCTTACATCATTTCTAATTCAAGTTGCTAGGAAAAAAAAGTCCGAGTTTTCGAAAGAATTTTACAAATTAAGTACTTTGAACAATTATAACGAAAAAATATGATAGTCTTAGCACTGACAGGAGCTACCTCAGCTGAAACATGCGAAACGAGAAATGGCGTCCCTACAGAGTTGAATAGTCCAGTTCTGGTCACCTCTCTGTCACGTAACGCTCAAGAGAGATAAGATCCCTCTCTGCCGAGAGCGTAGCGTTGCGTGACAGAGACAGAACAGATATGAAATGTCATCGGTGGAAATCTTTCCCAGTCCTAACCAACCTTTTCCCTGCTTTGTTAATTGTAAACTTTAAGAGTTCCTTATTTCTGCTTTGTTGATTCTAAACTTAAAGTATTTTTTTTCTCCTACGGTTTTCAAGTCTTCATTTTTTTGGTACGTAATCTTACTATCATGTCATGACTCCTTTAAAACACTGTTTACTACACGGTGCGATTGCAAAACCTATTTCTTATAAGTAAGAGATATCTAACCTATCACTAGTACATACTGAACGGTAGACATACAAAACCTATAGGCTAGTAACTCCCAGACATCATCCATGGTGTATGATCAATTCATCTCAGTCCACCCAGCCCTTAGCTGCTCTTCGTGTCTGAAAAAGCGTCCTACCCGGAATAAATGAAAACAATTTTTCAGCATTCAGTTACAGCAATATTGCCTCTCACTATTTTACGAATCATTTGTCGATTCATTAGTGCTAGAAAAAGAACACATTACGGAACTTTTGAGAAATTCTGAGAAGTAAGAGCTTACCATGAAGGATGGCACACATACGAGAGCGCGTTTGACGATGCCTGAGACGCCCCAGTAAGACACCTTTTTCTCCGGCACGAACCCCTTTTTTCATTAGCCCAATGTAAACGTTATCTCTATTGTTAGGTAAGGCCCTGTCCAAAACGCAGCTTTATTTCTACGGTTAGGCCTACCGTCCACACTAATCCGTCACCAAAACGGAGCTTTTCTGAAACGTTCCTCAAACCGGAGGAATTTGAAAACGCCGGCTTTACGTTTTCGTATGGACGGAAAACATTTTGAAATAGGAGCTTTTCGTAAATGAAGGCGTCACGATAATCACGTGATTTACCTGATCGACTTTTCCTCAAACACAAATCCAAAATTAGCGGTCATTGCTCCGCCGTACTGTGGACGGAAAACATTTGATGCGTTTTCAGAGTGATAACTTCATTCTCAGATTCCTACGGCGTTGTGTGGGCGCGGCGTAAGGCTGGAAGTATTCTTATGACTTGCTACTGATCTGTTGTCTTAATTAAGAAACAATGAAGTAATTCGTTCCGAGAGACAGTGTAGGAGCCATGCTTATTTGTTACACCGTAAAGTTCCGAAAGTAACGTCTCCCTGAAAGCAGCAACCCTCCGAAAGTAGCGACCTCAAAAGTCATTTCCCTTTTTAGCATGTGCATATGAAGTGAAAGTCAAAAACGGATTACCACAGCTGAGGAAAGATTTAAAGGAAAGCCTGTAACGCATACCGGTTTTAATGGGGACTGACTGCTGTTAACCTAGATTGTTCAAAGACTGATTCTCTCGAATTGTCATTCAAAACAATAACATGCAATAAGATTCTCCAAATAAAACGTGTGCAAGTTTTAACATTTGACCCAATTTTATTACCGTAACCACGAACGTTTTAGCTACCCGAGAGTAGAGACCATCCGAAAGTAGGGACCACCCGAGAGTAGGGACCATCCAAGAGTAGGATCCATCCAAGAGTCGGGATCACCCAAAAGTAGGGACCACCCGAGAGTAGAGACCACCCTAAAGTAGGAACCATCCGAGAGTAGGGACCAACCGAGAGTGGGGATCACCCGAAAGTAGGGACCACCCCAGAGTAGGGACCACCCGAGAGTAAAGACCACCCTAAAGTAGGGACCACCCGAGAGTAGGGACCACCCCAGAGTAGGGACTACCCGAGAGTAGGGACCATCCGAGAGTAGGGACCACCCGAGAGTAGAAACCACCCGAGAGTAGGGACTACCCGAAAGTAAGGACCACCCCAGTGTAGGAAACACGCGAGAGTAGGGATCACCTAAAAGTAGGGACCACCCGAGAGTAGCGACCACCCGAGTGGAGGAACCACCCGAGAGTAGGCACCACCCGA